TGATTTTATAATTTTTGAAGGTTTTACAGACTCCTCAATTAGCAAATTTAATGGTGAGATTTTTGAGAGAGAACTAGAGCCATGGGAGGGACATTCAGATGGATACGATGAAACCATCTCTCTGGATTCAGACAGAAAAGAAGCTGTAAGTAATCATTATGATCATTCTGTGATATCAGCTCATTGTTTGTTACTTTAATATATTTATATATTATTGAAATACCAAATTTTGTTATTTAAATAACTAGAAACATTCTGTAATATCCCTATATATGACTAATATTTTTCATAAAGTCAGTTTCTTTTGTCAATGCTTCAACTTGATGGATTTGCACCCTTCACTGTTTTTACTAATATTGTCTTAATTTCTCTGCATGTTAGTTTTCAAACAAGTTTATCATGCAACAAGCTTTAAGCATTGTTTATTAATAGTAAAACAGAAAACAAAAATGAGATTACATGTTATAAAGTTATTCAGAATATAGCTAGGTAACCATTGAGACTTATATACAATAATGCTCTGTATTGAGAAATAGTTTCCATTTTATAATAATTATGAAAACTAGTAGTGGTTTCTGTATTTGTAAAAAAAATGCAATATTAAATTTGCATTTTTTTCTTTTGATAACAAAAAAACAAGCTTTCAAATTCATGACACAAAGATCTAGATTTATATTGAAAGAGGCCCGGCATTGCCTGGTGGTTAGGACACTGAACTCACAATTTGAGGGTCGCGGGTTCAAATCCCCATCACACCAAACATGCTTGCCCTTTCATGGGGCATTATAATGTGATGGTCAATCCCACTAGCTGCCTTTCCTCTAGTCTTACAATGCTAAATTAGAGATGGCTAGTGCAGATAGCCTTCGTGTAGCTTTGCGCAAAATTCAAACAAACAAGTAACAAACAAACATATTGAAAGTATCAAGAGAAGCTGTTAAAAGTATCTTTAGCTTTCTTGTACCATTAATTTGAATTTGTTAATGAAAAAATACTCCTATCCATATATATATATATATATAACACACACACACACACACACACACACATATATATATATATATATATATATATATAAACAATTTAGAAGTTTTTGGTGGTTCATATTGCATTTTAAAACAGTATGTTTAAAATGCAACTCTAAATGTAGTAGTTGATCATATAGACCAACTCACTTATGTAGAGGTTTGTAATGTGAAACAAAAAAGTGTTCATTATACTGATATATAAAACAGAATAAAAAACTTATCTATTAACCCACTTTCTATGGTCTTGGTGGATTACACCGAACTTGTGACTCCAAAGTAACCATCAGAGTTTCTATACTGTAACGTTTAATATGTTTTGTGTATTGTCACAAAACTTGACAAGCTTTCAGTAAACATTACAAAATTTTGTACACAAAATATCAGATTTTTTAATTAAGTATTTTTACTAAACATTTGCCCATGACAATGTGGAGTCAAAGTGTTGACTGTTTGTTCTAAATGCAAAATGATGTTTTCGCGTTAAACTTAGAAATAGTTTTCTTTATCTGAAAATTGTCAGATTTCATTTATATAATCTATAAAACCTCCTAAATAATTATCAAACATTTTTTTGCTAAAATGTTATATTTTCTCTGCTATTTTCTCTAACTCTATACACATTCAATTGATTTGACTGACCTTGTAACTGCTATAGAAAAATTAAATAAATCTAAATTATCCTGTTTTCTTTATAGAATTACTGCAAATTGTAAAAGGAAACTACAAATGTGTATACTTAACAGTATTAATTGATTCCCTTTGACCTGTGTTTAACTAATAATCATGCCACACAAGTTGTAAATCGCATAGCTCACATTAGTGCAGTGAATGACATAACACGAGCTGCTTTCGAACAGACCTCACAATGAATTTTTATTATTATTATTTTTCATTATATTACCTAATCTAACTTAATAAGTTTCTAATTTTTTCATATTAGTTACTTTTATAATAATAAAGAATATACATGTAAAACAAGATATATATTACTTACCTTTGACCTCTCGTTTTTTTGCTGTCAGTTGCCAATAAAATTTAAGCCAACATTTTTATACTAATTGTACCAGTATTTTAATAATCTTTATTTACTTAAACAATGCACCAAAGAACACAGAGCAAACGATGTCCTATAACAATCATAATGTATCTGGCTTTCTAACAATGGTATAAGAGCCTTTAAATCTTAACTTGAGCTTGTTAATCTGAAGACCATGAGAGAAACTTTCAAACTGAAGATGAAATAGACAGTACTTTATACTGTAAAACAATGTAATGTAATTACATCATTTGATGGATTTAAACTTTGGCTCTCTGTTTGTTATAAATAGTATAGTATAAAACATGAAAGAGAATAATTGGCAATTTGTGAAAGAGATGATGTGACTGTTGGGCATGGCAAGTTGGTCCGATTTTCTATTTTATGATTGAAGGCTATAAAAATTAAACTTTACCTTATATATTTTATAATAAGTAATTTACATTAAATTCCTTACTTCTCAGAGGGCTGGTAAATAAATTAGTGAAGAGGGACAACATAGAGAACAAAGTTCATTTTTCTCATACTAGGGTAGATTGAGGATTTTTTAAATATTTTTTTATAAAATCAAAAAGTTAAAATTTATATAATATTAGACTTTGGATTATTAACTGTGTTTTGATTGCCAAGTTTATTCATATACATTGATAATAAAGTAGTTTAATTAAATTTTTAATTTAACTCTAAAAAGTCATGACATGCACACTTTGACCTACTCATAATAGGAGAGTTAACTTATTAATAATTTCTATGTAATTTATTATATAATTATGATAAAGTGTCCTCGCTCAGTTTATCAGTAATACTGAACAAATCTCCTAACAAGTGATTGCTTAGTTAATTAACTTGTGAAAATAACATATGCATGTTAATAAGAATGATTCTATTTTGAAAAAATCTATGAAATTACTTTTTAAAGCCTTGACATGTATTGTTCCTTTGATGTGCCTCTTTTACCTTAATCTTCCTCACACCAAGTGATGCATAAGGCCTCTTTGACATGCATGCTATAATTATTTTTCCTTAATTTAGTTGAAAATCAGGTAGATTACCTGTGAAATACTACAAGCCTTTTCTTGTTGAGATGGTTTCATTTGTTTGTTTTTGAATTTCGCGCAAAGCTACACGAGGGCTATGTGCACTAGCCGCCCCTAATTTAGCAGTGTAAGACTAGAGGGAAGGCAGCTAGTCATCACCACCCACTGCCAACTTTTGGGCTACTTTTTTAACAACGAATAGTAGGATTGTCCATCACATTATAATGACTCCACGGCTGAAAGGGCGAGCATGTTTCGTGGGACGGGGATTTGAACCCGCGACCCTCAGATTGCGAGTCGAGCGCCTTATCTACCTGGCTATGCTGGGCCTGAGGTGGTTTCATACTGTTAACTGTCATGTGACTTTAGGATCTGAATGTCTTTGATGAAATGCAGATCATGTATTATCTTACCCTATCTCATCTTTTATGTGACTTACTGCATTTGCATCAGAAGAATGTTCATAAGCCTTGCTTCCCAGCCATAAGCCAGATTTTCTTGTTGATAGTCATACTGTTATCTCCATTATGAATTCTGAAATCAATGTTAATGCTGTTGCTAATGTTTCTAGAAATTTTTGGAGGCTTTACACAATCTGTCTCTAATATGCAGGGAAATTCCCGTGGCTGTATTGTCACCACATTGTTCAACAATTTGGGTCATTGCTGATGTTTTTAGAAATAATAATTTTCTAATAGCTTTCATGTTTCTTGCATTTGTTATGTGGGGTCCTATTAGCAGTGTTATTTTCTACTTCTCATCTTTCTTCTCAAATTCTTGATCCTAGGTTGGTTATTGGAGGGGATCTTCAACACGGTCTCTTACTTTGACTCTTCATCATTGTAGGAATTTGACCTGAATTTGTCTCCCATTCTAGAGAAGCATGTCAGCAAGAGCTGATTAGGGTTTTATCCTCCCATCTGGCTTCTGGTCATTCTTCCTTGAAATATCCAGCAAGTATTATCCATTCACTTTTGACACTTCCTTGTGGTCAAATGTAGAAGAAAGTATGGTGGGTCTTCTCAACCTACTTAATGACACCCTTATGTTCCAGACAATTTCACCATCCAGACTTCTAGGAGGTTGTATCAGGTTATTTGTACATCTTTGAGACCATTGGCTGCAATATCCTTGGGTTTAACAGATCCTTCAATCCGGTCTTTACCTTTGGTTTCCTCGTCCTTCTCTTTCTGCTCAAGCTTTGTCTTTTTCTCTTCCTTACAGTTTAGTTTGCTTAAAGTTTCTATTTCATGAAGGGACAGTCAAAATAGTGTATTCTGTTCCTCCAGGTTTTTGCTCACTTTTGTTTGTAGTTCCCAAGAAATCAAGGGATTGGAAACATTCCATAGATGTATCTCAATTCAGATGTAATTTGTAGACATCCCATTTAGAAAACGGATAACATAGGTAGATATACAAGATACTTACTTGTCCACAAATACATATTCCTGTACATCTGTCATTTTCTTCATTTTTGCCATCAGAAGGTAGTTTATTAATTCATTGTTCTTCCTTTCAGTTGTTGGATGTCAAAGTGTTTGCTGGTCTTCACCATAGATTTGACACTGACTTTCATTTCTACATGGCTGATTGGCTTAACACACAGTTAGGTACATCTCTGGGGTAAATCATCTTCAAATCCAATTTGCATTTTTTTATCGACACAGTAATTTGGACATCAGAGTATTTGGATTAAGAAATACTACTGCCACATTTTATGAATGCAAGCCTTGGAGTATTGTATTCGTACTCTTTTCACATCAACTGCCAGAAACATTCTTTCTGCTTTGGAGACAGTGACTTCTCTGTACAATATAATTCCCTTAGGTTGTGCTTACATGTAACACCTCATTTGCATCCAAATTTAGGTCCATTGTCATGCAGTGTAAGTCTCTCTTACATCATTCTCAAGTCTATACAGTTTTTATTGAATCAAGAGTTTACAACAGTTGGGTCTTCCTTTTCATAGATGCCTTTCTCATAGGTTGGGCTACTGTGTTGAGAAATCAGTATTGTTCTGGTTCCTGGACTCCTCAAAAAGCAACCTTTGTGTGCCATTAGATGTGCTTGTCTTAAGTTTTGCACTTTCTATACCACCAATCTGTTTCTATTTACAGAGACAATTATAATAGTGCAGTAGTCATTTTCACAGCTTTTGTTTTTCTACTTTTTTGGCTTCATTCTCAACATGTTCACCTTTGAGCAAGTTGTGTTCCAAGTATGGTGAACATTTTGGCAGACTGGCAGATCATTGGCATCTTCTCGTGGAGTGGAGTCTCCAACCTTTGGTCTTTCAGTGGCTAGTCAAATATCTGGGTCATCCAGTGATTTATGCTGTTGCTATGTCAGAAAACTATCTTTTCCCATTCTACTGGTTTCCATTTTCAGATACAAACTTTCTAGTTGTGGACACTGAGTCAGTTGAGGGAAAAGCTCTTTCTTTATATCTATTCTTTCTCTCTGCCTTTTTCTTGTGTACTTGCCAGAATCAATCTTGCAAGATGCCAGGGCTTTTCTTTGTTCATCTCACCTATGGTTTTCCCTGTTATGTTAACTTTCTTATGGGAAACCACTATGAGAACATTTTTCCTGCTGATGTTTTCACATGTTTGGTCTTACAGCTGATTGTTGTTATATCCTTTGTCTAAGAAGCCAAATTCTCTTCTAGAGTAGCTTGTAAGTCATGCTACTTTTCATGATGCTCTTTCCTGGTGGTCTATCATAATATTTCTCTTCTGTTTCCAACTCAACAAATTGCTTTTTCGTTCATGTTTTTGTTTCAAGATTGTGGTATATGAGCTTCTTCCATATATGGTTACAAAGCTTCTTCCAGATGCGACAGAAACCATAAACCTCCTTTGTCACCTGGCCCGGCATACCAAGTGGTTAGGGTGCTCAACTCGCAATCTGCGGGTTGCGAATTCGAATCAACATCACACCAAACAAGCTCACCCATTCAGCCATTGGGGCATTTCAATATGACGGTCAATCCCACTATTCGTTGGTAAAAGAGTAGTCCAAGAATTGGCGGTGATGACTATACCATGCCTTCCTACCTAAACTTGGGTTGTATGAGAAGGTAACCATTGCTTTTCACCTAAGGTGTTACCTACCCTGTGTAGTCCTGATTCTCATTCTGAAGAATGTTTAGTTTGTCCAGTCAGGACAAACTTTAATCTCACCAATACTGAATGCTTCAGCAAAGCTTGAAAAGGTTGTAATCTATATAGCAATGCATTTTGTGGTTATCAGTCAATCAGTTTACTGTTTAGAGACACTGATGTAAGAGAGAAAAGGCTTTTGAGTTTATTTTTTTTGTTTGATTGTAATTACATTTACAACACTAATTCTGCTATAGATCTCTTTTGTAATTGTAGTTTTATCAGTTCTGTACATTAATTGTAGTAATGGGCAAAAAAAATAAAAAGTATTCAATATTTGAACTTCACCAGTAATGAGCAATATAAAAACTAGTTGATGATTGGAGTTACAAATTTTGAAAAGATGGTGTTTTAATATTATCTGTATTTTCATGTTATATATGTTTAAAAACATTAATATGTATAAAACAAAATTGAATTATTGTATTCAACTGATTTTAAGATATATTAATTACAATTGCTGGGGTAATGAATGTTATCTGACAACATGTTTAATAAAAACAGTTTGTTTTTTAGAAACCATTGTGTTTTAATATGAATTGAAGTATATCCAGTTATAAAAAATATACAAGATTAACCTACATTCACTCTTAACCATACAGACTCTAATTATTATTTTGAAATCTTTATATTAACAGAACATCTAAAGCTAGCCTTTGCATTTGAAATGGCCTTAGAAATTTAACATTTATTGTTAAAATACTGAAAAGATCTGATTGTTATTTTTAAAATCATAAGGAAACTTAGTGAAATTACAAGGTATTTCAGTCATTGAAATGTTAAAAAGAAGTATCTAAATAGGATTGTATTATGTTTCAGTAATAGTTTTAAAAATCTAAAATTGCAAAAATATCTTTATTTCTATGTTATATAACATATCAGATAAATTATGCCTTAGATGCTTATTATCATTTTTTCTTTCAGAAAAATGGGTGGGATCCAAATGAAATGTTTCGAAAAAATGCTGAAAAATTTGGTGTAACATCAACGTATGATTCCACTCTCCAAGGCTACACGTAAGTATGTTTCCTGATACAATGGCATGAAGGTATAATGGTAATAAGAAAATTATATTTTCATGTTATTGAAAAATATTTTAGTAACATGTGTATATATATATATATTACTACATAATTGGATAGTAATATATATATATATATATATATATATA